CAATGCCAACATACCACCAACACTTCCAAGCAGCTCGAAACCGCCAACCCCATACGGGACATGCTGAAAAGAACTCAATAGCCTCATCACTTTACCTTCCCCTCTTTCCCTTTAGTTCTTTTCTGTTGATTTTTCTTCTTTAAAGAGGATAAGGGTACATGTATTTGTAGGAAAAGTATTATTCATTCATAAAATCAAGTAGTTATTAATTATTACTTGATTACATTTCTTAAGTAATTAAGAATAGTTTGTTTAGCGACGTGTGCACCAATAAAAATCTACTTAGACTGAGGCAGGGTTGATTTTTTCACAGATTATACTTCTAGCTTTTTTTTGGGAATTTACGAAGTCAGAATGAAGTACAAATTTACATAGAATTTCCAAGTTTGATTATATAACACATGGTTATCTACTTATCTTTCATTTCTTTCTTATTGAATGAATTGGAATAATAAAGTTGTAATCACTATAAATTGACCAACTAGGCAACTAAACATAACTTTGAACCTAAACAATTAACAACACAACCTAAATAAAACGAACAACCATCTTTCACAAAAATGACTTGGAGGTTATCTTAACTACTGAATATGTTAGTATAAAATAAAAGATAATATTTACTTACACTAGTAATATGTATAATTTTTTCAAGACGAGTTCTGAGTCTCTACAATAGCTCCTAAATGATGAACATATACAAACTTAAATTATCATCTTTCCATATCATAGAGCTATAACATAAATTTATCATAATAACTTCTATTGTCATATTATTACAAACATTAATTTTTCATACATACGAAAACTTGAGGCACACCAAACAAAATAAAAATTAACCTTAATAAGTTTTGACGACTTAGCATGTAGCAACCATCACCTTACAAACACTTCTACACAAACCCAAACAAAGTACTTGTTGATATATCTAAAGAAAGGTTTATAGAAAAGAAACTTATTATTGTTGACTTGTTGAGTCTAAGTTTGATGTTTAATACTTTTAGTAACTGCCACCTCCACCTCCGCCACATCCTCCACCGCCACCGCCACTCCCACCCCCACCACCACAGCCTCCACCTCCACCACCACCCCCACCACCACATCCTCCACCTCCGCCTCCTTCGCCTCCACCTCCACCTCCTCCTCCGCTGCCTCCACCACATCCACTGCCACTTACACCACTAGTAATGAATCCAGCACTGGTAAAGGTACCACCAACATAACCACTACCTTTTTTTCTAGGTTCATCACCACCATCAGCACACACAAACACAAGCATGGATATAATTGAAACGGACACAACCATTAAGCATAGCAACACCAACACACCTTGGGCGCTTTCAGATAACTCGAAACCACCACCCCCAGACGGTATATGATCACCATTTAGAGAACTAAAAAGTCTCATCACTTCACTCTATTAGTGAGAACTGCCAAATTTACAAGCGTGATACACTAGGTGTTGTGGTTACTTGGTTTACTTGTAAAAAAAAGGGTTTGCGAAGTTAACAGGATGTATACTTCAATTCGTACAAAATACTAAACGCTCTATGTCACTAATTATTTGTTCCAAGCCTAAATGGAGTAAATGTCGTGTGAAACGAATTTAAAAGAAAAGTGGAGTACGTAAAAATCTCCTTTGTTTCTAGACACTAAAGAAAAGTCTCCCTAGTACATTACTTAGCAGATGTTGAAGTTGAAGTTGAAGTTTAGTGATCATATCCTAGGTTTTTGGACTGTATCTTGCTTCTAAACACATCAATCATTTTCATAAATATCCAATTGCAATCTCAAAAAAACTTTGAGCATAATTTTCAAAGTATTTGCATCAATGATCAAACCCCTAACAAAATAATGATGCAAAAAGTCTCAAGGATTGAAGACTCGGACATTGACAACACCATATAAGCAGAATACCCAAAACGATTTTGACATATCAATCATGCATCACAGATACATGCTCAAGCATAAGACGCTCGTGAGCGAACACACACGGACATATGTAGCAATCTGAATTCTCATCCATTTTCACTGCTCCTCCATCATAACTTAATAAGATGCTATCAGGTAGATGATCATAGCAGGCAATTTCATCCATAATTCGTTAGGACATGGGCGGATCTAGGGGGGGTTCAAGGGGGTTCATTGAACCCCCAGATTTTTTGAAAAAAATTTATAAGTTTTGATTTTTTTTTTTAAAAAATAAGGTTAAAAGAAATTTTTGTGAAGTAAATAAACAAGTATGTAACTTTGACACATTGGTAAGGGAGTGACTAATAGAGTAGTGAAGCTCCTCTTGATCTTGGGTTCAAGAGCAACCACCCTCATTTTTTTGTTTTTTTTTCCCCTTTCGATTTCTTCCGTTGTTCTTCATGAGTTAGTTCATAGTTGGGTCAATAATTTTAGGAGTAGTATGTTGGTCATTTTGTTAAGTTAGAGAGTTAAATGAATTTAGAAGTTAATGAGTTTATTTAGTGGGTTTATGGGTTAAACATGGCATTATACTTTCAGTTTCTTAGCTTATTATTTGTTGTTTGTTAGCCTACATATATGGCTCTTGTATTTGGTGAAGTAAGCATGAAGAAATATTATGAGTTCTTTATTTTACTTGCTTCATACTTATCTAATATTATTATTGCTTTTATCCTTTAGTACGTATTAGTTTCAACGGTCCTCTTATTCCTCTACTCCTCTTAATTCTTAAATCATTATTTGTTTGTAAATTAGTGATAATTAGATTAATTATTGATTTGTTTAATTAGTTTTGATATATTGTTGACGTACAAATTGAATTTAGAAACTTAGAATTTAAAATTTTTTATTTTTTTTGACAATTAATATATTACTTCCAATCATATTATTGTCATCAAAGATTTTCAACTTTTTGTTTCAAAAAAAAAAAAAAAAAAAAGATTTTCAACTTTTACCTCATAATTGTTAATAGGAAGAATTCTAAGAAACGGAGAAGCTATAAACTTAGCATATTATACAATGTAGGTCGTTATTACATTACTATGTCAAATTGTCAACTAATAATTAAAAGTCAAAAACAAACTCACACCAATACTTTTGTAATTTATATCTTTTACTTTGTCAAACAATGAACAATGATCGTACACATATCATGTTTCCATATCACTCACAAAACTAAAAGATAACATATCATAATATACATAATATTATTATACACAATAATTTTTTTTACAGTAATCCCCCTATCCTATGGCTTATAGCTCAATATTCAGAAATGGGCACCCAGCAAGTAGCAGCAGCCACCTTACACACAACTTTCACGCAAACACGAACAAACTACTCTTCTTAGAAACTAAATAGATGTTTTAAGACTACTCAGTCGTAGATTGATGTATTACTATATATTAACAACCTCCTCCACCGCCACCACATCCTCCGCCTCCTCCACCACATCCTCCACCGCCACCAGCAAAGAATCCACCACTAGTATAGGTACCTGCACCACCATTGCGATTACTTCCAGATTCACCATCATCAGCACACGCCAATACAATCATAGACATAATTGATATGGACACAACCATCAAACATAGCAGCACCAACATACCTTGGGTGCTTTACCCCCATACGGAATATGCTCACCATTAAAAGAACTCAAAAGCCTCATCTCTTAAACCTGTTAGCAAGGACTACGAACTTTATAATTGTGATTTACTCTAAACGAATGTCACAAAGGTGTTTTTATATATTGGAATAATAGGAATAATAGCTATGAGGTCATCAAGATATTTTTATATTTTCTTAAGGACATACTATAATCATAATTTGGATCAGCTGCTCACAACAAGTTTCTAGTGTTGACTTTTCACACCTTAGACTGAGTACAGATCGTTTTATTGACTTTACAAACGAAGTTGCACCTCACGTCAAGAAATCTCCCTAATCGCTAACTTTGTAAGAAAAATAATTTAAACTCTGTTTTTTCACTCCAAGCCCAAATGAGACTATTATTAAGACGGACCCAACAGAAAAAAGTGGAGCAGAAAATTATAATTAGGAAAAGTCTGATGCAGCAATTAATGCTGCTTTCAACAAAACTTAGTCTGATGCAGGGTTGATTTTTCTGACCTTTCAAGACTAATAAACAATGGGAATGTGTTTAGGGTGTAAATCAGGGTGACAGATTGATGGTATGGACGATTGTGGTCGAGTCTGGGTTACAAATGGTTTCTGCAAGATGAATTTTAAGCCTCTAACATCCAAGTTAATGCCTAAATTGTTGTATTAATCTGAAATAAAAAGATACTATTACTCATATTAATGATCTGTATAATTAATCAATTACAATTTCAACCCATTATGAATAATGTTATACTTCATACGGGGCCAATTGACCAGATTAGTAAATAAAAAAGACATCTAGCGACAATTTGGTAAAAAAAGTTAACAATATGCGACAATTTGGTAAAAATAATAAACTCCGACGACATTTAGACCAAAAAATCTTTTTTTCCGACAAACTCTTTTAATTTGTTTTGTGTTCTTAAATTTATTTTTTCCATTTAAAATTTTGAATTTACATGTCATCCTTTTTATTTCCAACCCCTTTTTTAAAAAAATTTCGTTAATAAGGGGTACGAAACTTAAGTGAAAATTGATACTTACGGTTTTTTTTCTTCAAATTGTAATTTCCGTAAAAAAGAGTTGGTAAATAACAAGAAAAACAAACTATATTAAGCATTCGCGAGTAATTTATCGAAATTTTTTGTATTTTTTGGGTTAATTGTCGCCTGAGATTATTTTATTTACCAAATTGTCGCTTAAGGTTAGTTTTTTTACCAATTTGTCGCCGGAAAAAGTTTTTTTTTACCAAATTGTCGCTAAGGGTATTTTTTATTTACCAATTTGGTCAATTAGCCCATCATACGGAGTATCTTCTTTCCATATCACAGAGCTAATTGAAATTTTATTATAGTTTATATCCATACTTTCATAGTTTCATATTATACATAATAATTATTACATAATAATGCTTAGTGTGCACTATTAAAATAAAATTAATAAAAATAGTAACGTTTGCAAGCCTAGCAAGTAGCAACCACCACCTTACAAACAGTTTCACATACATAACTCATAAAACAAAGTACATACTTATATGTTACAATATACTTGGTATATCTACTTAAAAAAAAAAATGCAAAGAACGGGAGTTTATAGAAAAGGAACGAATGATTATTATTGATGTTGAACTATGACTTTAACAACCGGGAGTTCAAAGAAAAGGAACGGACAATTATTGAGTCGAAGATTGATGTTAAAATTTATACTTTAACAACCACCACCGCCACATCCTCCACCACCACATCCTCCACCACCGCCACATCCTCCACCTCCATCCCCGCCACATCCTCCACCTCCAATGCCTCCTCCACCACCACTGGTATAGGTGCCACCACTATAGCGGCACCAACATACCTTGGGTGCTTTCAATTAACTCAAAACTACCGCTCCCATACGGAATATGATCACCATTTAGAGAACTCAAAAGCCTCATCTCTTCACTCTAAGAGCTGCCAAATTTACAAGAGTAATAAACTTAATTTAGAATAATGTCACAATGGGTGTTTGGTTACGCAGAGTACCTATAAAAAATGATTTGTGAATTTAAGAGGATATATAATAGAGGAATGTCAAAAAAAAAAATAATAGAGGAATGTCACAATGATACGTAAAATTTGTGTCACTGTCACTACTACAAACTCGGAATTTTCCTTCATATTTGTTTCTAACTTTCTACTTTCTAGACAATAAAGAAAAGTCTCCTTAAGAGGAAGGCGTAGATAGATGTTGAAGCTAACCGATTATTTTGGACTGCATTTTTCTTCTAAATACATTATATTCCTATACGTCCTATCGTAATCTCTGTAGAACTTTGAACATAATATTCAAAGAATTTGCATCAAAACCACTAACAACAAGATGCAAAATATCTCAAGAATTTAAGACTCGGAAAACATTATAAAAGCAGAGCACCCAATGCAATTTTGACACATCAAGCATAAGACGCTGGTGAGCAAACACACAGACAATTCTCGTACATTATATCAGGTAGATGATCATTACAGGCGACTTCAATTATATTGTACTTAAAAACTGTATAGATATCATTCTCCTATATGTACATGCAGAGCATTCTACATGCATTACATACAACAGTTACTGAAACACATATCACAGTTCAAACACATTGCGGAAGTGAATTTCAAATAATTCCAGTCCATACTTCCTACGTTCCTATGTTAAATTGCCAATAGTTTGGAAATACGACCTTCACTCGGTCAACCGCATCTATTTCATGGCAGTTAGTACAAAGAAAGAAGTAGATGGAAGCTAAAGTTATTTTAAACGATACAGGCAAATATAACTAAAAAGCTACTCATATATAATCAAGTAGGTAAACTTCATGGCATTAAGTTCATCTTATACAATGAAAGACATGCCAAATCAATCAATATGCTTACACCTCATTCACGAACTAGCGGCTTCAGATATCATCAGAAATCCATGGGAATTTGTTTAAAATCCACAATATAAGCAGTGTTCAAAACAGGATGATAAATATCCAACTACCAAAGATAAACAGATTTCTAGCTAGAAAATGTCTGTCACACCTTACCAATTAGAATAGCAAGCTTTTTATCATATTTCAATTTTTGTTGAGAACTAATAAAATGTTAGAAACAATCCATATTTAAACAATTAAAATTTTACTTCTAGTCTTGTTATTAACGGTTTAAAACTTTAACCTTGTGTTTTAATGGAAAGAATTCTAAGAAACGGAGGATTTATAAACTTAACACATTATTATATAATATAGGTTGTCGCTATTATGCTACTATGTCCATTATTTAAAACTTACAAGACATACTCATACTAATAATTTGTAGAATTCAACATTTACTATGTCAAACAAAGAATAACTGTTGGAGTTTTCCTCACTAGTAATGCAAATCGGAGTTTCATCAAGTGAGTGTGCAAAGAGTTAGAGAGGGAATGATGGAGAATGCAAGTCTAGGGGATTGATCAAGGCCGAGCTAGCAAGAGAGCTAGAGCTCGGATGCTGGGAATGCCTACGGCATGGTCGAGCTAGAGCTCGTTGCCATCAGTAGTGTCCAGCAGATCCGAGCTATAGCTCTCCTATGCGTGAGCTACTAGCTCGCTTCTTCTTTGGCTAGCTGGAGACCCGAGCTATAGCTCTCCTACGGGAGAGCTACTAGCTCGCCCCCTGTTTTCACTTGCGGCAGTTCGAGTGAGAGCTCCCTGCGAATGAGCTATAGCTCTCTACTCGCAAGCCCAACCGAGTATATGGGCCTTGCGTGAGGCTCAAGCTGCTTGTCTCTTTTCCTTATTACTCCTATAAATACAACTCATTGACCTTTATTAAAAACCAAGTTAATTTCATTATTGAAATAACCAAAACACAAAACAAAACCTACCCTTTAAGATCTGAACAGTTCTTGAGTAATTCCACTTTTCGGGTTCGGGTGCACGAATTACGGGAAGAGTTGCGTTAAACTTGGGGGGCGTGCGTCATCAGGAAACCTGTACCGGTGGTGGCGTATTTCGCTTCTAAGGCAGTGGATTATTGTTCCACGGCGCAACTGTGAGTTGAGATCTTCAATCAAGTATTTTTCCCTTTCATCTTCTCTATTTTGTTATGGGAATCAACAGGTATTTTACCAACAACAACGATCAAACAAATATCATCTTTCCGTGTCACAAAGCTAAAAAATTACATATGTTATAGTTTACAAACTGTCAAATTATACACAATAATTTTTTCACTTACTCTCAAATTATACACAATAGTTTTTTCAAACAGTAAGGTTTGGGCACCTGTAATAATCCCCTTTATCCCATGGCTGATGGCTTAATATTTTTTTGATGCGGTATTCACAATCTTTTAAGGAATGTTTCAAGTATACACAAGAACTATGACATGTTACAATGAATCTTGTAGTAGTTTAAAGAAAGGGAAACTCAAAGTAAAGGAACCCTTCATTAGAAATTGATCATGTCTTTAAGGCGCGCTACTGAGTCATAGATTGATGTTTTATTATAATTAACAACCTCCCCCTCCACCACCACCTCCGCCACCACCACCACCTCCGCCGCCACATCCTCCACCTCCACCGCCGCTAAATCCTCCACCACTGCTATCGAAAAAAACACCACCACCAAATCCTCCACCACTACTCGTAAAAAATCCACCACCACCGTAACTGCTACGAGTTTTTCCAGGCTCACCATCATCAGCACACGCAAATACAATCATAGACATAATTGATATGGACATAACCATCAAACAGAGCAGCACCAACATACCTTGGGTGCTTTCAAGTAACTCAAAACCACCACCCCCATACGGAATATGCTCACCATTAAAAGAACTTAAAAGTCTCATCACTTTAACCTGTTAGCAAGGGCTTCAAAATCTATAAATGTGATATAATGAATGTCACAAAGGTATTATGGAAACTCGGGGAACCTATAAATAAGGTTGGGATAGAAAATTTAAGGGGATAGCAGGGTAAAATATCTGGGATAATGGTGAATTTGTGTATCACAATTATAAACTTGGAATATCTCCTCTTCACCTTTTTTTTTCCTTCTTACTTTTGTTTTGTCCCTCAGGAAGTTCAGGGTTCCCTGGGAAATGAAAAGATACAGGGTAAGGGTATTTATAGGATAAGTAAACATCTCAATGAAGTCATCATGTTATATTTATATTTTCTGAAGGACACATACTACTCATAAAGTCAGCTTATGAACCAGTCTCACAACTAGTTTTTAGTGTTAGACTTCATACCTAGACTGAGTACATATTGCTTGATAACTTTACAAAGGAAGTTACTCCTAACAGAAGAAATAACCGTAATCACTAATTTGTAAGAAAAATTTATTATATTCTCTACTGATCATTTACTCCAAGCCTAAATGACACTATTATTGAGACGGACCAAAAAAGTCTCCTTAGCCTCTATCTTAGTGGGTTTTGAAGTTAAACCATACCGATTGTCCTACGCTATTGGACAGTATCGTGCTTCAAAATTCATTTTGTTCCTAAATTTTCTATCGTAATCACTAATCAGTAAATAGCTTACAACATGAAAATTGCATAAACCGTGCCACTAACAAATATGACAGAAAATCCATTAATTTAAAAATCAGACTGGTCAGACATCAAACAATATCGACAAATCACAAGTTTATCAGATCATTTTCAAGGTTGACAACTAATCTGCATTCGGCTGCTGTGTTGTGCATATGTGGTCACAAGCATACGTTCTCAAGCACATAAACACATGAACACACAGAACTTTAGCAATTTGAAAATTTTATTCTTTTTTGCAGCTCTTCCATCCTAAGATGTCATCAGGTAGGTCATCACAGGTTTTTACATAGTACAGAATTTTTTGTAACAAAAGATTTAAAATGCATTATTCTGCAATTAAATCCATTCTTCTTTGTGTACTTGCATCATTCTACATGCAGTACTTATCAAAACACTTAACACAGTTTAAACACACTGCAAAAGTGGATTTTTATACTTCCAGTCCGTACTTCCTATGTGTTAATTATGGGTTTGGGCCGCACCTATCATCAAGTTAGAGAGAGAGAGAGTCCACTTCACATGTCTAAGGAGATTCCTTCTTAAAGCCATATGCAATAAGAGGAGTAGCCCCTTAGCTTTATATAGTCTTAAATGTGTTTTTAACTCTCTTCATTTATAAATGTCGCATACTTACATGTGTTGTTTGGAAAGGCTTTACTTCAACAATATGTCAATTATAATTTGGTCAGTAACACATACCTGCAAATAGACAAGCATACTATGCCTCCTCATCAAAACCATCATCCAAAGACCCGCTTTCCTTTTCATACGCATGCATGTTTCTGTGTAGAATGTGAAAGAAAAGATAGGTTTAATAAGCTAGGCTAATAAAATGTTGGGGGAAGGAGGTGCTACAGTCAGAAAATGATTGAACTCCAGTCAGTTGAGAATCTGTTCCATAACTTTCACAAAACCCAGTGCAAGGAAGTTAAACTAGCACAAAATCATTGTATGAGGAAGCTAAAGTTTGAGCTTTAATACAGATAACATATATACATAAAATGATATTCTAAGCCAAATTTAACAGTAATTAAGTCAATCAAGTTCATCTAAAATAAATTTTAGTCATGCAAATATATACGAAGTAAATGCTAACCTATCATCCAGAAACACAGCTTAAGAAATCGTTAGATATCTGAAGTTTTCTTTCCCCAGCTCTGATATTGATATCAACAAAGTTCTTAAAAGGAGAAATACTTAAAATTCCATTCAAAACAAACTAGTTCATTGCATCAGATTGATTTTCAATCTCTGTCATAATCTGAAACTCCTGGAAATCACTATAATAGAAGTCGTCACCCTAAGGTCTATAAGATTTAGGCCACAGCACCAGAAAATTACAAGATATAAAGAAAACTAACTACAAGCAAAAACACAAGTTTATAAAGGGAAGATGTTATCACACATTCAAGAGAAATGAGAGATTTTTGTTTCAAAAAAAAAAAAGGTTCAAAGTCAGTTAACATCATCAAAAAAATTCTATGAGCTTCTGAATGTCGAGGACTAAGATATTTAGATTTGGTCAATTTATACTTCTTGTAAGATGCAGCAGCAATCATGCAGTCCTTGAAGCACAAACAAACAATACATGAAAAGGCTCAGATACTCAGGTTTGTCATAAGGTAGGCACACAGATCATCCAACTTAACATGTAGTGTAAAATAATCTGATGAAGTCCCACAAGGCCAAAACTGGTTATGCATCTTTCACAGGTTGCCAATATGAAAATCTGGAATAAACATCATGCTGCTTGTATGGAAATAAAGATGAAACAACAGAACATTTGTTTTTCGAATTAAGTTCCTGCTGATTTCTGGCAGAAGATCCTGTCTTTGTTCGTATTAGCAGACCAGCAGGCTGCAGTTATCTCGAAAGAACTGGAGTTTGGTATCAAAGTTGTGAAGTGAATTGGCAAGAAGCATCAGCTGTATAAATTATTCAGCCTTAATCAATATTATATGGCTTTATAGAAAGTTTATTACACTGAAAAAGCCAGAAATGAGAAAACGGGGAAGAGATTTTGGGGGTAATTGATTGGAGATTATACTTCGATGCTATTAAATCATCAAAAGGGGTTTGTCCCCAAACTTTTGAGTGGCTAGACAGTCTTAATAACAGACTAAAACAAAATCAAATTCTCCTCTATTTATGGCTAACACCTTCCCTCTAACTGATTTTCCTCTTCATGTTCATTCTACCTCTAGCTGAATTATAATGACAAAATTTTTGAGTGGCTAGACACTCCAAAAACCGACAAAAACAAAATCAACTTCTCGACAATCTCCATAATTCCTCTCCCTAATCTCCTCTGTTAATAGACTAACAACTTCCCACTTCCCTCTAACAGATATTCCCCTTCTTGTTCATTTTACCTAATGACAAAAACTACTGTGCCCGTCCATATACCCAGCAGAATACTAAATACTCGAAATAATAACCAGAAAAGCAGAGCTTCAGACCTAAACTTCACATAAATTAACTTCAAAGTCTCTTGTAGACGTTCAGACTTCAGAAATTCTCAGATATCAGAGGGCAAATTCTAATAGAAATGAAGGTTTGGTTATGTATCCCTTTGATTAAAATTTCATTGTAGCATCTCATGGTGATTAATAACTCTCTTCAAAAAAATAAAAAAAAGTTCAATCTTATGATCTTATCAACTTGCTCTTGTTTTCCTCAAAAAAAAAAAAAAAAAGGTAAAACACTAAACTAAACTAAAACTTTTTGCCCTTGCATGAACTTTTTCCTCCTCTCGCTTTAATAGACATATACCACCAAAATTTCTCAAGGACAGACAAACTAGTTGTGGCATAAATCTTCGATGATCATTTTACTCTAAAAGACATTATTATCATGGATAATTAAGTTACGACTCCTTTCTAGAATCTAGTGTAAAGAAGATACAAGCTTGGAAACATGATACTCATCGCAAATGAAGGCGCAGGGAAGAGTAGATTACAAAAGGGAAGGACTCCTATCACTGTCAAATCATCACTCATTTAATAAATGAATAAGGAAAATATAAGAGGTATAAAATTAAGCCAGATTGTAGGATGGAAAAGGCTAAAAAATAAAGTTTGAAAAACACATCTATTCTATGGAAACTTGGAAACTAGCATTGATAATTACATACGCTGACATAATACATTGCAAGTACTCATGAGCTCCAGCTCGCTTGCAGCTTGTCAGTCAATCATCAGCCACTAGCAGAAATATACTCTCTATTGTAAGTTGAATTCCCACTGCAATTAATGTATGCCTACAGATATTAAGAACTCAGGTTTTTATTAAGTACTCGAGTAAAACATAAACAGGGAAAATTACATACGAGTAGTTTCTAATTTCTATACAAGAAAAACGATACATGTTTTATTTTTCGCTAGATTCCAAAATAAATTTCTGAACCATTCACAGGGATATATACGCACACCAGCACGAGCACTCACATGACACATATATACGTATATACTATGAGGGTGTACTGATATTTTACAACTTGTTAACCTCCACACCCTCCGCCACCTCCACCCCCACACCCTGCACCTCCTTCATCACCACCCCCACACCCTGCACCTCCAGTGCGATGTTTTTTAGGTTCACCATCATCGGCACATGCAAGTACGAGCATGGATATGGCTGAAATTGGCATGATAATGCAAGTACGAGCATGGATATGGCTGAAATTGACATGATAATCACTCATAGGAGCATCAGCATAACCCCAAGACTTCCACGTAACTCGAAACCATCACCCCCATATGGAATTTGCTGAACGGAACTCATTAACCTCATCACTACACCCTCCCTTGTCTTCAGTTTTTTTTTTTTTTTTTTTTTTTTTTTTGGGAGGGAAGTTCTTTATTGTGTTTCTCCTCAAGAATTTCAAGGTCTCTAGGAAACAGATAAGGCACATGGTACATGTATTTGTAGGATAAGTACAGGTCATCATGTTGTAATTAGATGATGCAAATTTGTAAAGTAAATGCATACTTCTTACTTAGCATTTTGTGCATCAATTCTTCGGTTGACAAGTCTTGCAACAGATATTTTAGTTTTGAACTTAGACTGAAAAAAGTTGCTTTCTTGACTTTTCAAGGCTAGTAACTTCACAAAAACTTCACATCAGCTATCTTATTTGCTACTACATCTATTACATAATGTAAGGCAAACATGGTTGTGCAATTTCTTTGACCACTAATATCTCTTCAAATAGGTTGAGACAGTATTCCAAGTCAGTGATCTCTAGCAACATATTTCTTAAATCAATTGCTTCCTAAAATATCTCTTACGTTCTTAGAGTTGACTAGGAGCATAGAATATTATCTTTTCTGAAAATACATAAAGCATTGAACATGTTCCCACACATGAAAACAAACACATAGAAACATATGACAGGTTTTTCTATCCACCTACAACAAGAGGCAGACTCAAAATCCAACCTACTTTGTTTAGTTACAAAGTTCTAAGTTCAGTATTTAAAGTAATCTTTAGATGCAGAAACCATATAATTCAATTACAAAGTACTTACAAAGCACATGCACTCGCGCACACACACATTTAGAAGTATAGTATCCCTTCTTTGGAATATATAATGACAAACGAATGCCCAAGTCTTTTCTTAATCAGAAAAGTTATGCGTAAAATGTTAAGAGAGCCAAAAATGAACAGTACAACCTAATAATAATAGAGTAATGAATGAAGATAGGTACAATAGTTCAAGAGATGAATTGCACTAAGATAAAATACCTGTTCCACATAGTCTTGCAGCCATTACAATGTATATTTAACTCCAAAATCTGCACAAAAGAATATGGAAGTTAAAGTTTAAGAAATACAGACAACAAATACAAAGTTCTTGAGCACAATGAAAGCATGCCAATCTATGAGCTTACCGCCATCCAGAGCTTCAAACATATCCTTAGATATCCAGTTCATTCCACAGCTCTGATCTTTATTAATATTCATGGGAGGTAGTCAGAACTCCAAAATATCAGCAGAAATTAATTTGGAGTAATACTTCCAACGCCATTCAAAGCAGAAACCTTCATCACGCTGCATTGATCATCAATTCCTGTCAAAAACACCATAGAACTCGGACATGACTATCTAGAAGCCAGTTACCCCAACTTCATTCAAAATCTAGGCAAAATTAAGCACATGCCTACAAACACTACACATTAGTTTAATATGAGTCAGAAAGTTAACACACAGACATAATAAGGATGAAAGCTCACATTTTTTCCGAATATATTTGGTTTAATAGTCTAAACAATCTGACATGATCAAAATAATGTCCATAAACTTGAAAGTGTCAATGTAGTCCTTGCAACAGGAACAAAAAAAATGCCTAAAAAACCACATTCTTGATCCAATATCAGAAACACAGCAAAGACGGGTACAATATATGGTGATCAAGTACCATACTCAAGTTATTCAAAAGGCTGATGAAAGCTATAACTCTAATGCCTAATTTCCCTCAAATTAACTCATTTTTCTTCTATATCATAGTATCAACGCACCCCCTTACAAAAACAATCACCTAAAACAAGAGAATACATAAATTTGAACAAACCTTTCTTGCTCGTTAACCGAGAAAGGATCTAGTTTGCTAGCTAAATAACAATTGTCTAAACTCTAAACATTACCATGGGATATTCGACAACTGCAATTTTTCCAACAATTCAACACGAGGTATCAAATACTTGAACAAAAATACCAAAAATTAAACAAAGCTCAATCATGACAACTCATTGCTCAAGATTACAAAATTCAATGATAGCATCAAAAATCCAAAATTTCCAGAGAAAACGTGATCAATAGAAAAACTAGAAGAAACCCCAGATCTTAAATTCAATAACCTGTCAAATTTCAGTACATCAATCAATTTATAGTCTATGCATAAGGAATTATCAATCAAATCCATCGTTGAATAAATCATTGAATCAATCAAATTAGGGTTTGAGCAAAAATCTAGGGTAAGATAAGATTGTTAGGAGATTTTAATTGACAAATTGAAATCGCGAACCTTTATAATCTTTGAGATATGAATATGCCTGATGAAAGTGAGCTTGGTGGGAGTGGAGAGAGATTGTTGCCTTAATTTTTTGGGGGGAAAAAACAAGCAACAATCTCTCTCCACTTCCAACACGCTCTCTCAAGCAATAATCTTGCTAATAATCAACGATCAAACAAGAGTTTCACGCATGATGATGAAATTTTTCAGATTTGCAGATTTGAGATGAAATTGAATTTTGAGGAATTTTCTGAAAAACAAAATAAAATAAATTCCTTTCGAATCTGTGAGTTGAGGGTTGGTTAATGAATGAATGGAACGATTGACGGATGAGAAGATGAAAGAGTCAGACTCCAAAGTAAGTTGGGCTTCCCAAGTGTAGGACTGTAGCAGTGAATGATCCATTCACTTACGGAGTAAAACAACCTACATTTATGGCCTTATGGGTGTTTTGCTAGGCCTATTTTGATTTACTGAACTAATTAGAACTGAAGTGAACTAAGGGCTTATTTTGATTGATTGAACTAAACTGACTTATTCGAGCTGAGTTAAACTGGATATTTTATGAGAGAAGAAAATTATGAATTAAAGTGAATTGAACTGAATAATTTTTGAGAGAAGGAAATTAAGAATTAAACTGAACGTATTGGAGCTTACCTGAATTGTAATGAACTGAACTAAACTGAACTGAACTGAACTGAAAATAATCTGAATAGAGCAGGCCCTGAATAGAGTTGAAATGAATTGTTTATGAAAGAAGGAAATTAGGAACTGAATTTATTGGAGCTGAATTAAACTAAATTGAAATTAAGCTGAAGAAAACATGGCCTAAGTACTCCATTAGAATTTATTATATATACCCAGATGTACGGTATACTCGGGTGTAAAGAACAAGCTCTCATACTTCATAATTTCATCTAGGTTTTTTGTAAGGGGAGAATTGGAATCAGATTTGTTTCCGCTACAATATGTTTGGATAATAAGTAAAGTAACAAAATCGCTTTTAGGTAGTAACCCTTTCCACCCCATTGTTTTTGTTGTAAAAAGTTAAATATGTTTCTTACCTCATAAAAAAAAAAAAGCACTACTCTACCCTCTTCACTCTCCTATTTGATGATTCTAAATACCCAACTCCATTAACCGATTAAAAAAATGGTGTAAAGGGGTCAAAATAAAAGATAATAAAACATGTCACGAATATAAAGTAATTTTACTTTTAATTAGCACCATTTATAGTTATACACCGTTACAATTCATTATTTTCTTATACTTGTATGTAAGTTGTTTTATAATTTGATTTTGGCTATGCATAAGTGTTTAAAGGTGATAAAAATATAATCAGGTTGGTGGATTGGGCTTTGGAATAAAATCTTTAACCGAAACTCAAAAATAATGTCAAACTTATCAAACCAATTGGTATTACATGCACCATGGTTAGGTGCACCAGGCCCAATTCTCCGCCCAGCCCAGCAAATTCGCGCCCAACAGTCTAAAGGCCCAGTCATTTTTTTTTTTTTGGTTTTCACCATTAAATTTTGATATTCTCTTTTTTCTACATCTAAATTCTTTGAAAACCTAAATTTAAACTTTCAACAACCCTTTTCAATTTTTCTCTCCTTTTTTTTTTTTTGGAGCTTTTTGACCAATTTCGGTGGATTGTGCAATAAAATTAGCAAATCAGATACTAATCGTTCCATATCCCTTACCTTCATTTTTGTGTTCATACATTTAATGTTTGATGTTCATATACGTTGTCTTTTTAGTTCATATATATGTGTTGTATGAAGTAATAATTTGTGTATAAATTTTATCAAGTATTTTGGTATGAATTAAAAATTTATTTGGATATTATGTATTTCCTTTTTTTTTGTTTAATATTTAATTATAGACCTACTACTGAACACCTTCAAGAAATTTCTGAACATCCCCTAGAAACTTTTGATAAGATACCAAAAGCAACACAAAAGCCCCCATAAACTTCTGATAAGCCCCTAGAATTTTATGATAAACTACCGGAAACACTGAACCAACCTCAAAAACGTCTGAACCCCCTACAAAAACTTTTGAACCACAATTACAAACCATTGAACACCCTTCAAATACATTATAACCACCTTAAAAAACCTCTGAACCCCAACCACAAACAACTGAACACTCTACCAAAACCTTTGAATTGAACCCCATACAAAACTTTTGAACCCCAAACACAAACAACTGAACACCATACCAAAACCTCTGAACCCCCTACAAAAACTTTTGAACCCCAACCACAAACTACTAAACACCCTACAAACACCACTGAACCCCAACCACGAACCACTGAACACCCTACAAAAACCTTTGAACCCCCTACAAAAACTTCTGAACCCCAACCACAAACCACTGAACACCCAACAAAAAATTCTGAACCCCAACCACAAACCATTGAACACCGTACAGAAACCTCTGAACACCTACAAAAACTTTTGGACCCCAACCACAAACCACTAAACACCTTACAAAAACCTTTGAACCACCTATAAAAACTTCTGAACCCCAACCATAAACCATAAACCATTGAACACCCTTCAAAAACTCCTGCACCTAAAGACACTGCTCAAAATGCTGCTCAACCTTCAGACTATCCTTATAAATAACTTCATACGTTATACCTGCAATAAACAAACACAGTTCATAATACCATTACTGAAGTTCAGAAATAAAACAACAAAGTTCAAATACAGGAAAATGTTCATAATTACGTTTACAATTATTTTTTAAGAAGCATATATATATATATATATATATATATATATATATATATATATATATATATATATATATATATGCTTAGAGAATTATGTAAATCAGAAAGGCTCATTAAAGTAACCTAAATGTTCATAAAAATAGAAACAGTGTTCATAATATGATACTGCTAATAACAATTTTGATAATAAATAAAATGAAAAGTGCGTCACTCGAATTATATGAACAAAATGTTCAAAAACATGATATAAACAAATTATATTCATATAATACATATTAAAGCATCAATTCAACAATTAAATTATAAATGAAATTGAAAATCATCAACAAAAAAAAAAAACAAAGAAATTAAAATAAAAAATGAAATTCAACACACTTTCAGCAGTTTAATTAACATTAAATCTCAAATTAATCAATAATTAATAAACAACAACTAATTGATCACATAAATTCTGCATTAAGTGATAATATGAAGCTAATGTTCAAAATCATATTAAACGAATTCTAACAGAATTGTTTAATAATTTAATCAACAAGTGATTGAATTCATCACAAATTAATAAATAACAATGAGAAATCAAAATCTCATCGCAAATTTCAGCAGCTTAATTAAAATTAATCAATTGTTTGATCAATTCATCAATTAATCAATTGAATTATATAAAATTAAAACTATTACACCTAAAAATTATCAGTTCAAATCAACACACTCAAAAAAAGTATTGGAATCAACAAAAAAATGAAAAATCAATAACTAACATCAACAACAAAAAAACCTAATTAGCGACAATTATCAAATACAATAAAAAATCTAACCTGTAGTGTCGAGAACCTCAAGTACATAAATTAAATCCATCGCGATGAATAGCAGTGATGAACAAATTCAATAAAAACAGAGGAATCAACAATGGAGAAAAATTGAGGAGAGAGAAATTGTGTATGATGATTAAAAACGAGAAAAGAATTAAAAAAAAAAAAAAGAATAGAATTGAAGAGAAGAGAAGAAATTGAGAAATTAGGAAATAATTGAAAAGGGGAAGGACATACAAAATAGTAGAGGAAGAAAGCTGAGAATTTGAAAGATGAAAACTGCAGCTAGCAAATTAATATGTGGCGTTAATTCATTGGTGGAGCACATAATTTAAGGTGCACCATGGTGCATATTATAATTTGCCTTATCCAACCAAAGCGAGTTTTTGACGAATCAGGCTCAGATTACACTTTTTGGCTTGCTCAAACCAGCGCTTTTTCGAGCTGTGTCGGATTTTAGATTTTGCGTAATTCAAAGTTTCATTTTTCATAAAAAAAAAACAAAAAACTATGACCTTGCCTAATTGGCTAATTACAGCTCGACTCTTGTTGTAAATGTGAGCTACACCAACTCGATCACTAACTTTAAGAGCCAATTTAAAAGTTCAATGAACCCGTTTCAACTCACTAACTAGTGTGCATTTCGGACGTTGCACCGGTTGCTACTTAAATTAGACCTTGTGATTATCAATTATATACATTTGTTTTCATGTTTATAACATAGCTTACGATTGACTTAGATGATTAAGTTCTCTTTCTTAGAAAAGGTTCATTTTTTGTGACTGAGGCGACCCGCTATCAACTTACGACAATCCTAATCGGCCCAATGGAAATAATGGTTTTTTTTTTAAAATTTAAAAAAAATGACCTACACCATAATAATAATTCAGCCTTAGCTTCCTAAGTCAATGATGAGCTTATGGCGATGAAAAAGTCATCAGTTGTCATAGCCACCAACCACCAAGTACTCCACATCTAATAATGAGCTAACCGGCCAACGGGCAACAGTAGAAACACTCTGAAGATCGAGAAATTCACCGATTAAAGCCACCTAATAATGTGGTTCGGAAAGACGACGATCACGGTGTTGGCTGCGGTGTTGTTGACGTCACGTTTATTATTGACACGAGCACAAACTCCTTCAGATCCAGGGACGACAACACCCACAAGCAAATCCTGCATTAAGGCTTTGACTCCTTGTGCTAAATATCTTAACCCATCTCCAAAGTCTGACTGCTGTACTGATACGGTATCAGGTAACTCGGGTAATTCATCGTGCATCTGCGAAGTGTCACCACCGGATGCCAAAAGCTGTTGTAGTACTGATCTCTTAGATAGTTTGTCTTGTATCTGTGAAGCGTCGCAGAACCCGGCCCTCTCTAAGGCTGCTGGCCTCAACAAAACCCAGGTCATTGAGATCTCTAATCTCTGCTGGTCTGGCCTTGACTGCCGCAATGGTATGCCATCATTTATCAGATCAGAGTAAATGTTTTGATAACTTGAATTTTGTAGCGTTTTTTTTTTTTTTTTGGTTAATTAAATGACTTTATTACGAGATCTTTATAAATTAAAACATCATTGTGCGTGATAGATTCTTCAGCTGCGACTCCGTTTGGGGCTCCACAAATCGGTACATCTATATCTTCGCCTGGTAAGAAAACTTTCTACTATCTCCGTTACAGGTTATGTACAACGATTAGAATTTTCTCTCTATGCTTTATGTCAAATCGTTGCACATAATTTGTAACGAAGGTAGTATTTATAAAATGAGCATATATATTCATAACTACTACTCCCTCTGTCTATAATATAATTCCTGTTTTCTTATTTTAGATAGCCAAATAAAATGTTGTTCTTGTTTTTATTTTTATTCTCACCTTTTTAACTTTATTCATTGTATTTTTTATATTACTCTTGAATTTTGCACTATCTTGTACTTTATTCTACTTTCTCTCTCTAATTTTTGTTTACTACCTCCGTTACAGATTATGTGCAACGATTTGACATAAAACAGAGAGGGAAAATGTTTAATCGTTGCACATAATTTGTAACGGAAGTGGTATAATTGTACATTTGTACTTTTCACTTTTTTTTTTAATGTAATTCATTCACTTTTTCCTTCTATTTCTTAAATATAGTGAAATAATACAAATAGAAACTATATTATGAAACGAAGGGAATATTTATAATTATTAGATTACTATTTACTATTTTTCATAAAGTCGTGTTAGACTGTTAATTAACTATGCCTTTGTATTTTCTATGCTTACATTTTTTTGGTGTGCGTGCATAATGAGTATTGCACAGAAGTATAAACATCAATGCATGTGACTATGTGAGTGATATGACATAATCTAGGCATTGGTGGACACTCCGATGAATGTGCTCTTTTTTTTTGTTTTTTTTTTTTACAGGATGAATGTACTAGTTTTTAAACGACAAAGGTAGAGAATAATCTTTTCTTGCCATTCTTGGTTTACCCAAATTTTCTCTTTTTGCTGGTTTAAACTTCAAACTTGCCATTTTATTGTTTTTGTCTCTCGATGTTCATTACATTTAATATCTTTCTTTGCATTATTAAATTACTAGGTATTATGTTATTTTTATTTTTTTATTGCATGAATGGGCTTTAAATCTTTCATGACTTTTAATGTTATTTTTGGGTTTACCATACTCATCGTAATAAGTGACTATTCCACGTTAGTAAAACATTTTTGTGTCTGCAGGAAAGAAGAAAATAATTATCGCAGCCATTGTTTTATCTGTCACGTTAGTGGTGCTAATTGCCATAGGCATTGGCATATTTAGGACAAAACGAAAAAAGAAACGTGGTGTCGCAAATGCTCAAAATGGTAACAGCCAAAGCTGGTGAATTTATTGTGCTTTTCTTTTAAGTCATGAGAACGATTAATTGTACTCCGTATTTGTTATATGTGCAGCAAACAGACAAGATGTAGATCATTTGATAACAGCTGAGTCGTTACAATATGACTTGGACACGCTTGAAGATGCCACTAACAACTTCTCCAACAACAACAAAATAGGGGAAGGAGGGTTTGGTGGTGTATACAAGGTATATTTAAACATGTCCTTACTCTAGAGGTGTTTGTTTGTAGGGATAAGAGATAGGAATAAGGACTGGTGATCCCAAAAATATATAACATTTTATTTCGTTGTTAGTCAATATAATGAGGCATGAGATTATTTAAAGAGATTGGGGGTATGGATCATTTGTTATTGAGATAGGAACATATATTGTAATATGATATTATGAGAATAATATCATATGAGACATTATTGTGAAAAGATATACATGAGATATTGTGAATAGATTTAGGAAGTTAAGATATTTGGGAATATTAGGGTTAGATATTCCTATTGTCTATATATATATATATATATATATATATATATATATATATATATATATATATATATATATATATATATATATATATATATTGTAATGTGGCCAAATATAACAGTTGGGAAAATACAATGAGAAAATACATAGAACTATTTTCCCCAATTTTAACATTTGTGTATCAGGGTATGAGATACGCTAATTCAGGCCACATATAATATGTGCACATTTGTTTTAAGACTAAAATCGTTAATTTGTTTACAATCATCTAAGGGTACCTTACAAAAAGGGCAAGAAGTAGCAGTAAAAAGGCTGTCAAAGAGCTCTGGACAAGGTAACAAAGAATTCGAAAATGAAGTTGTATTTTTAGCAAAGCTTCAACATCGAAATCTGGTCAACCTACTAGGATTTTGCTTGACGAGTGAGGATAAGTTGCTTGTTTACGAATATGTGCCCAACAGAAGCCTTGATTATTTTCTTTTTGGTACGGTACAGTATTACATAATGTAATTGTAGATTAAATTACTCGTATGATATAATGCTATATATGATTATATTCATTGAGTATATGAGGTTAAATTCATGTCTGTTGAACAGATCCTGCTAAACAAGACCAATTAAATTGGACAATGCGCTACAATATCATCAAAGGCATTGCTAGAGGACTGCAATATCTTCATGAAGACTCTCGTCTAAAAATTGTTCACCGTGATCTTAAAGCAGCAAATATTTTGCTTGATGCAGAAATGAATCCTAAAATTGCTGATTTTGGCATTGCTAAGAATTTTGATGTCCTATTAACTCAGAAGACTACAAACAGAATCGTTGGAACTTAGTAAGTCGACGTCAACTAGACAACTTCTATCTTCTCTTTCAAAATGATAAGTCTGATTTATTAGTAAAAACTCAGTTTTTATAGAAAGAAATTATAGTGTCCATCTAGTAAAAGAAAATATGGTCTAATTATGCGTTACTTTTTGTCAATTTCAGTGGTTATATGGCTCCGGAGTATGCAATGCATGGACAGTTCTCGGTAAAATCAGATGTATACAGTTTCGGTATACTAGTATTGGAGATGGTAAACGGACAAAGAATTAGCCGCTTCTATCAATCAGAATCTGGCGAAAGCCTTCTCAGCTTTGTAAGTGTTTGTTTACTTGTGTAATATATATAACATCGTTTCCATGTTGAATTAACTTGTAACTATAAAGTCTTGCAGTCTGTCTTGTAACTTCAAAAGAATAGAGCAACTCTTATAACACTGACCGAGTAACCCATATGAATATATAATAATGATCGAGTAATCTCTATAACACTGACCGAGTAACCCACTATTACACTAACAAAATAATCCCTATAATAGCTGGTCATGTGTCAGCCACATATAAGACTTTAATAACATGTGAATAAAAACTAAAGTCTGATGAACACAATATATAATCATCTCAAGTAATTAAAATTGGAAATCCTTGTTGATTTGGGCACCACAAAATAGAAGTAAATATTCAAAGGAATGACTTCTTACATATTTTTTTTGGGCAGGCTTGGAAAAGTTACAGTGAGAGAAGAGCATTAGACTTTATGGATCCAACATTAAGAAGTTCATATATAATCGATGAAGTCGCAAAATGCCTTCATCTTGGATTATTTTGTGTTCAAGATGACATTCGAAAAAGACCTACAATGTCAACCGTAATTCACATGCTCCACTCTGAATCTGAAGCATCTACCTCTTTGGTCCCTCAACGCCCTTCCTCGATATACTTAATAGATACGGACCAAGTAACATCTACTACTACGAAAAGCGATACCGGCTCAAGTTCAACACCATATTCTCATACAGATCAGAAAGAAAATACTGTTGGTTGAGTTTGATTAACAAATTTTTTTTTTTTGGTGTTGAAAGAGCCATAAAAAGAGAGTGATGCACTACAATTCGTTCGATACAAAGTTTTAGATTTAGATGGTTGACTTGAATTTGGTAATGCATTCACCAAAGAAATGGATTGAGAAACACAAGATGAGATAAATGCCTTGCATGCATTGCATCACATTTGATTTGGTGCAACTATATATTGGAAGGTCGACTTGCACTGGAAAATATATGGTTGTTCTGTTAAAGAACGAAGAAAATAATTCACAAATAAACAAGATACAAAGCAATAATGCTAGCTTAATTTTTAAGGAGTTTCTCCAGAAGACATTAACTTTGAATGAAGAAATATATTTCGTTCAATAAGTTGTGAAAATGACTTTTGTATAAAAGAGTTGTACTGTTCTCAACATTACATCATGCATGGATTTTAAAGTAGCATCATTTGAAAACTTATATACTTCCTCCGCTCTTTTATTATTTCTCTATGCATGATGATTTGGAATTGAAGAAAAAATATTTATGTAGCAAGTTGAAGGATTATATGTTAAATTTAAAGGAAATGAGCACTTGGCATGTCATTTAAATACAGAGTAAGAGCCTATATGATCTAAAGCAAGCTCCACAACATTGGTAAAGATAATTTGAATTTGTTAAATTATCTGAAAAAGAGTGTGTTGTATCTTTTAAATGTATCTCTTTGCTGATGTTTTATATCTTGTTGTCTATGTTTAGCTCAAATCAAATACATCACCTCAATACAAAACCTATTTCAACATCAGCTTTGTCACAATGCATGACAAAACCTATTTCAACAACTGTTAGGGTAAATACAAGTTTCTCTTATTGATTAACAAGACTACAAGAGTTGTATCACTAGAGGGTATATTCATAACTTGAACCAATTAATTAGGGTTAATATTGTAATTTGCCTAAAAAATGAAGAGCTAGAACTAAGGCTAGAGCTTTACACCGACTTTAGTGGAGGATGAACAACTTCAATGGAGTAAGCTCCAGAATTTCTTCAATGGTGGAAGATGATAACCCTTCCTTTTGGGGATAACCATATCCTTATTCTCTATTTTTTTTCCTTAGGGTTTTTGTTTAATTTGGCTGCAAAGCCGTCAAAAATACGGTGGCGATAAAATGGTTCGCGATCTACTTCAATGGAAGATGAAAGTATGATCAGTTGGCCTGGTGGAGGAAATCAGCTTCAATGGAGATTCTCAACAAAGATGGAGGAGGGGAAGAAGACTATAGAAAAAAGTAAATATATAGCAAAAAAAAAAAAAATACAATATTGTTAAATATAGAATAGAAAATAAAGAGAGATGAGGGAAGATTGTTACGTTCTATTTCATATTCCATCTAGTACGGGATATATATAATGTACATTACCTAGGGTTCCATCAATGGATAAGACCAAATACCCAACTCTAGAATATTCTAGATTGTACATGGGATAATAGTCATCCATATTTAGATATTATCATAACACTCCCCCTTGGATGACTATATATTGAATAAAACAATAACTAACATTTACTACAAAACCCGTACAAAATAATACACTATAATGCGCATAATATGCTGCCTCGTTAAAAACCTTACCAGGAAAACCCAGTTGGAAAAACCATGGTTAAGGAAAAAAGAGTGCAGCGCGCATTAACTCCCCCTCATGACTACATCACTTGAGATCTTTAAGACGACGCAATCCAATGCCGTAAGCTAACTTTTTGAATGTTGCTGTTGGAAGAGCCTTAGTAAATAAGTCTGCTAAATTCTCACTTGAACGAATCTGCAATACATTTATATCTCCATTCTTCTGAAGATCATGAGTGAAGAAAAATTTGGGTAAGATGTGCTTTGTTCTGTCGCCTTTGATGTATCCTTCCTTAAGTTGAGCAATACAAGCAGCGTTATCCTCATATAAAGTTGTTGGTGCCTCTTTCCCAGATGATAAACCACAAACTTCTTTTATATGTTGAACTACCGACCTTAACCATACACATTCACGACTAGCCTCGTGAATTGCTAAAATCTCAGAATGATTGGAAGAAGTAGCTGCAATGGTTTGTTTCATGGAACGCCAAGAAATGGCAGTACCACCATATGTGAACACATATCCAGTTTGTGACCGACCATTATGAGGATCAGATAAATAACCTGCATCTGCAAAACCAATCAAATTTTCTTTGGACAATTTTGGGAAAAATAAACCCATATCCTTCGTACCTTGAAGGTAACGAAGTAAATGTTTAATCCCATTCCAATGCCTTCGGGTTGGACATGAACTAAACCTTGCTAATAAATTAACTGAAAATGATATATCAGGTCGTGTATGACTTGCAAGGTACATTAGTGCTCCAATTGCACTAAGATACGGTACTTCAGGACCAAGAATTTCTTCATCATTTTCCCGAGGTCGGAATGGATCTTTCTCTACTTCAAGTGATCTTACAACCATAGGGCTGCTCAATGGATGTGATGTATATCCAAAGAAAATCTTTTAAGAACCTTTTCTATGTATGTTGATTGATGCACAAGGATTCCATTCTCTAGGTGCTCTATTTGTAACCCCAAGCAGAATTTTGTCTTTCCTAGATCTTTCATTTCAAACTCTTTCTTTAAATAATTGACAGTCACTAAAATCTCTTCAGGAGTACCAATGATATTTAAATCATCAACATACACTGCAATTATAACAAATCCTGATCCAAATTTCTTTATAAAAATACATGGGCTGATAGGATCATTCTTATAACCTTCTTTCAACAAATACTCACTTAGACGGTTATACCACATACGCCCAGATTGTTTCAATCCATAAAGAGATTTGTTTAATTTAATACAGAAATGTTCTCGAGAACTAGATTTTGCTGCTTCCGGCAGCTTGAATCCTTCCGGGAGCTTCATGTAAATGTCATTATCCAGTGGGCCATATAAATAAGCTGTGACTACATTCATCAAACGTAAGTCAAGTCCTTCTCTTATTGCCAGACTAATCAAAAATCTAAAAGTAGTTGCATCCACCACAGGAGAATATGTCTCCTTATAATCAATACCAGGTCTTTGTGAGAATGCTTGTGCAACTAAGCGTGCCTTATATCTTACAACTTCACAATTTTCATTTCTCTTTCGCACAAAGACCCATTTATATCCCACTGGCTTTACACATTCAGGTGTACGGACTACTGGTCCAAATACTTCTCTTTTTCCAAGAGATTTTAATTCTGCTTCAATTGCTTCTTTCCATTTTGGCCAATCATTTCTTTCTCTACATTCTTCAATGGATTTTGGTTCATCATCAGTAAACTTCTGGTTTACTATAGCATGAGCTTCAATAGCATTGATTTTTGTGTAGTACAAACCACTAGAGAATGTAGGTAGTTTCTCCAAAACATGTTTTGAGCCTTGAGTTATATTTGTGATTTGAAGGAATTCATTATTTTTTTCATTGATTGTCTCAATATGATAACCATTGTTGCGAATATCCTTAAAACTTAATAAATTTCTTTGAGACAATGGGGAGTATAAAGCATCAATTATTTTAATTTCAGTTCCCCAAGGCAACTTTATAGTGGCTCTTCCGGAGCCTTCAATGATATTTGTACTACCCGATATGGTACTCACATTAGTTCTTTTCATCATCAAATGAGAGAAATATTTTTTATTTTTAAGTATTGTATGAGTAGTTGCACTGTCAGCAAGACATAATTCTTCACCATTCATAGCAAATCGAACTTGAGTTATATCCATGTTCTTCATGAAATAAAATACATGTCAAAATATTAAGCAAAAAAATAAAGATGATAAAATACATAAATCAATAAAAACACTCAAATAGTTCTTAAATTTATAAAGCAAAAATCCTTATTACAATGAAAGAAATAAACTTAAATAAATCACTAGAATAAGCAAACATGAGTCTAATACTGACATAAAACAATATAATTTAATTGTTCCCTTCTGGGGCAGTGAAGAAATCGGCAACTTCTAAATGTGTTGTACTGCCAAAATCAAAATTATTCCCTTCCGGGGAAGTAAGGAAATCACCAACATCAAATTGATTGGCATTGCCAAAATCAAAATCACCTTCACCATCTTCAAGAACAAGGTTTGCCTCAACTTTCTTTCCTTTCTTCAATGATTCTTGGTAAAGTTCAATAAGATGCTTTGGAGTTCTACAAACCCGAGACCAATGACCTTTTCCTCCACAACGGTAACATATATTGTTATCACTTTTCTCTTTTTCATCCCTACATTCCCACTTCTGGTGGGATTGTGAGTTTGTGAAATGACCTCCACGACCTCTATCATATCCACGTCCACGACCCCGGCCGCGCCATTGGCCACGACCACGACCTCTACCTCGACCACTACTGCTGGAATGGTCTCTGTTTTTAGTTTCTTTCCCATTATGGGTTGTCACATTTGCTTTAGGGAATGGAGTAAAGCCAGTAGGACGTGATTCATGATTTTTCATTAACAGCTCGTTATTTTGCTCAGCCACAAGAAGACAAGATATTAATTCAGAATATTTTTTAAAACCTTTTTCTCTATATTGTGTCTGCAGGACAATATTATTAGCATGGAAAGTGGAGTATGTCTTTTCAAGCATTTCTGCATCAGTAATATTTTCTCCACATAATTTCAATTAAGAAGTTATTTTAAACATAGCTGAGTTATATTCACTAACAGATTTAAAATCTTGCAATCTCAAATTCAACCATTCATAACGAGCTCTAGGGAGTATCACTGTTTTTTGGTGGTCATACCTTTCCTTTAGATTACTCCAAAGGATTTGTGGGTCTTTCACAGTTAAATATTCATTTTTGAGTCCTTCATGGAGGTGATGGCGAAGGAATATCATGGCCTTAGCCTTATCTTGAGGTGTTGCCTCATTAGCCTCTTTGATTGTTTCACCAAGCCCTTTAGCATCTAAGTGTATTTCAGCATCTAACACCCATGATAAATAATTCTTTCCGGTAATATCAAGGGCCACAAATTCAAGCTTGGCAAGATTCGACATTTTCACTCAATTGGATGAAGTGTACGTATATTTTGCGATTCGGCAAATTGAGGTTGGTGCAACAAGCCGGCTAGCAATAATGTTTCCTTCGATTCTCGATAACTAAAGCAATGGTGCTGATAACGTGTTAAATATAGAATAGAAAATAAAGAGAGATGAGGAAAGATTGTTACGTTCTATTTCATATTCCATCTAGTACAGGATATATATAATGTACATTACCTAGGGTTCCATCAATGGATAAGACCAAATACCCAACTCTAGAATATTCTAGATTGTACATGGGATAATAGTCATCCATGTTTAGATATTATCATAACAAATATTAATATAATTGGTTTTATTTACCATTTTGCCATTTTGAAAAACAATTTTATTCCTCAATAAGAGAAACTGGGCTGGTCTCCCAACTACTATACCACAATTAT